GGTACGTGGGGCGACTATGGTACCTGGGGTTAAAAATTGTGCAGCAAAGGATTTAATTCGTCCATAGACTGATATAACACTGACACACGTTGGCTACTCTAGATGTAGTTGGCCTGAGCACGCAGCCAAGTACAGTGCATGCACCTGCCGGTAGTCTTGGCCTAAATGCAGGTAGATACGGCCGTCTATTTGCTGGGCAATTTGTAACCCATGGGGTGTTAAAGTCCTTTCCATGGAGTACCTTGAGAATTCTTCCTCTCAGTAACTTTTGCCCAGGAAGTCCTACATCGTCATCTCAGTAACTGTTACATCATCTCAGTAACTTTGCAAATTAGCTTTTGCATCGTGCCATCACCTCAGTGACGTCGAAAGTACCTCAGTAATTGTCACGTCATCTCAGTAAATTTTTATACTTTCTCAGTGACTTTTACATCATCATCTCAGTAACTTTTACATCATCATCTCAGTAACTTTGCGCATTAGCTTTTCCATCATGCCAGTAGCTTTTATTCTCGGGAAAAGCTCAGTGACGTCTACAATATTCCAGTAACTTTCACGTCATCTCAGTAGTCTTTAACTTTTTACATTGTCATGATGTCATCTCACTTACTTTTACGTGATCATCTTTGTAACTTTACATCGTCTTGTTGACTTCTACATCATCATTCCAGTAACTTTCGCATTATAATCTCAGTAACTTCTACATCATCATCTTCGTATATTTTACACCTCTCAGTAACTTCGCACAGTTCCTTTTACATCATGTTAGTACCTTCTACACTCTCTCTCTCTCTCTCTCTCTCTCTCTCCCTCTCTCTCTCTCTCTTCTCTCTCTCTCTCTCTCTCTCTCTCTCTCTCTCTCTCTCTCTCTCTCTCTCTCATTCGATCCATCAGATGATTGATTGCTTTTGTCAATGAACGACATCAACAATGATTGACGTGTCCCGATGGAGACACGATTCATTGATTAACCGTCCGATCGATGCATCGGACAATCAATCTCTTGATTGGTCCTTGAATTGATGGGCACGATGCATGTCCTTGATTCATGATTCATCCGTTGGTCGATGCATGGGACAATCAATCTGTGGATTGGTCGAAGCGGCCACGTGCGCAGCCCCGGAACGGGCATGATGCCTGTCTTTGAATTGAGGGAACTGTGTGTTAATTAGTCGTCCATCACTCGATGGCGGGTTGTGAATCCGCTGAGTGATGGATGACTAATTAACCCGCCATCGAGTGATGGACGACTAATTAACACACAGTTCCCCATCGATCCAGTTATTCAGATCTGCTGCGTCGATCAGAGTAAGCTCCGCATCGATCAATTAAGACCAATGGAGGCACATACGTTGATTGATTGGTTGAGTGATGGATGAGTAGTAATTAACACACAGCTCCGCGTCGATCCAGTTAGGATGTGCTCCGATCTAATTAAGCTCCGCATCGATCACTAAGCTCTGGATCGATCAATTAAGACCATTGGACGTACATACGTTGATTGATTGGTTGACTGATCGATCGGCCGACTGATTGCGCTGGCTCTCAATGGTCTTGCGATGCATCGATGACTGAGTCAATCGGTGGGCTTAATTAGGATGGATACCTTCGTCAATTGATAGGTCTGTTGATCGATTGATCGATTGATGGATGGATGGATGGATGGATGGATGGATCGATCGAGAGCAAGAACGGGTCCACTTCGGGTTGATGGATGGGATGTGATGGATCGGTCTGGTTGAGATCCCGGCGATCTTAGACCCATTCGGATGCTGATCGGCG